GAGGCTTGACAGTCACCTTGCTGGGGTCGTATGACCCCAGCACTCTTTCCTGCCATGGCAGGGGCTTGGACCTGATGATCTGCTCAGGTCCCTTCTGACCCTACTATGAAACTATGAACTATGAAACGTAGTTAAATTATTTATTGGTAGAATAGATAAAAGAATGTATATATTGAAATAAATCTGCAGTCCTTCAAAATCCTTTAGTAGTTCACTATATTATGGATTAGTTGGGTCTGTAAAACAGAGTATTGTATTTAAATTTACAGAGAAGCAATAATTACTTGAGAAATGAAACTGGAGATCTTGATAAACCATTTGCAGTGAAAAGACTTCAAATTATTATTTGTGTTGGGGGAACATCTTGGCAACCAAACAAACATGCATCTCACCTTGCTAGGTATTCTAAATTAAATAACAAAAAAGGGACTACATATGTGATTAGCATGGGGTGGGGGTACTTTTTCTTCTGTGTAAAATTACTTTGAGTTTATACATTTCAAAAGCACCTATGTTCTTATGACCCTGTTTCTGGGGTTCTACACAGGCAGACGCGGGAACAGAAAACATACCTCATACAAACATTCATTTCTCCTGGAACAGTCACTGCTCTCCCAGGAGAAACCATGAGTGTACAGACATTCAGGCTTTTTCTCCCAGAGTAAAAATGGCTGCTCCAAAAGCAAAATAACCTGGGAACAACCAGGGCTAAATCAATCCTAAGAAGTTTTTTTCTGGGACAGAGAATGTCTACATGTGCTGTGGCTTCTCATAAGGCAGAATCGTCCTCTAGGATCCCCATTCCTGCTCTGGAAGAGAATGCATTTCTCACTGATTTCTGCTATTCAAGCAAGGAGCAACACAATCCCCACATTGTGCTACAGGGAAACAGGTTGAGCATGGGCAATCTGGGGCAGCCAATCACGGCAGCCCTATGTACTGCTGCCATATGTTGCTAGGCAGATTAATGGAGCCTGAATGGCTGAGATGTATACACAGGCCTCCTGCATGGATGCACAAATACTTCCACCTTCATTTTAAAATTAGGTCTGGCATGTGACTTGTTGTTCTGAAAATCCAAGTCACATATAACTATGGTCTTTAAAGATTGTTGGCCAGTGCAGGTAAAAATCAATGATTAAAAAAACTCCACATACATACATACATACATACACACACATACACAAATTGGATTCTTTTTTACTTTTTTTACTTTTCTTGTGAATGTGCTTTTAAAAATAAACATACAAAGATAATTTTAAGATGTTAAAGTTCCAAGATATTATCATGGAATAGAGATTATAACGTGTAATTATATACTATTTGAGACAATATATTCATGTAACCTTTTTAGAAGTTGTATAAATAATGAACAACAGGCCCTGGACTACATTCAGGGCCCAATCTTATGGGGTTCTCAGAGGCTCCTCTATAGATTACTAAAGATTAAAGAAAACCACTCTACCTAGTGGAACTCCATAGTCAATCTAGGGGTTCCCATTAAGCATCTCTATGATGCTCAGTTTCAGTTCTCAAACTGTGGATTTGTGTCTCCAGAGAGCACAAGCAGACAAGGTTCTTTGGGTAGATGTGACATCTTGTTAGACGAACTAAATAGTTGGAATAATTGTTCTTTGCAAGCTTTTCAGGCACAAATGCCCTTCTTCAGGCATAGGGAGAGTTTGTCGTCTCCAGCGACAGCATACTTGTTAACAGCAGTCAGAGATGAGAGACAACAGACCCGATTACCCACCCATCAGCCCTACCGTCTCTCTGCAAGCTTGTGTACAGAGTCAAGCCCTTACTTTTCTCTAAAAGTGTAGATTCAAGAAATTAAATGAATAAAGGATATCAAACAAGAATGCCCTTTTTTAGAAAACAAGGATTAACAATTGAGGCTTCCCAACCAAAGATTTAAAATCAATTTGATTTAAATCAAATCCATCCTGCTGTTGGCTGTTATTTATAACATTTGACATGCTTTTCTTGTAGAATGAGTGCAAAAAGGGGCAATCTTTCAGAAAACTTTTGACATTTTGAATGCCAAAAGACTTACATTTCTGTAGACTAACCATGCTAGTACTCTAACAATCATTGTTCTTGTGGTATATGAAGGTACAAGAAGTGATCAAAATATAACAATTCTCATACCACTATATTTACTACGTTTAGAATTATCATAAAAAATATTGGTGTTTCTGCTGAATTAGTTAACTGTTTTTCAGTAGTAAACAACTGACAGTTATGGACTACGAAACTTGTCATTCATTCCTTTGAGATGATACTTATTTTATACTGGCTTCAGATGCAGATTGAAAAGGTAAAAACTGGGTGGGGGGATACCCTGTAGACTCAACATTTCCTTTCACATTAACTCAGGATACTAAGACAAACTGAACTAATTTCTGAGTTATACATTCAAGGCTCTTGGCAATTTCATTACAAAATGCATTCTTTCATTCATTGTCCACAATTTCTGCTTCAAAGACATTTGGAAATGCATTATTTTCTTAAATATAAATCACAGACTAAAATACATGGAGCTTTTAGTGATCAAAGGAGGGTAGAAATTTGTTTGGAAACTAGATACAAGACACAAGTGACAACATATAGCATAAGACTCATGGGAGACTGGTGCCACCTTACTGGGGGGGTGGGCATGTGCCCACCCCAGCAGCCAGTCAGGGACCAGGAGGTGGGGGGGGGGGGCGGTCCCTGCGGCTGATCTCACTCACTGGCGCCTGGAAG